GATTCTCATTATTTTCTATCCTCTTGGAAGATGATTTCTTCTAATCTGTTTAATTTTAGAGAGTAAACTCTTTTAGAGAGTAAACTATTTTAGAGAGTAAACTATTTTCTTTTGAAAGTCACTCTTCATTAAAAGTAAATTCAGCTTGTCCCATTGTATCTAGGCCAGCTTCTATTTCATGTAGAACTCACTTTTGTTTCACTGGCCAATGTAAAATCCAACACATGCATTGTTGTCATTGAGTATTAATTGCTTGGTTATGGTTAGGATACATGCATTGTATCACCAAATTCTGGGTGTCCCATGCCAGAGTCAAAAGTATAGTGGTTACTCCAAAATTCAGTTTAGTCTGACCATGCCATGTTTTCCATAATCTTCCTTGTTTCAGGTTTGGATTGTTCCTAGTGGAGACACACATCCAATATGTAATGCCTAGTATGTTATTTTCATTCATAACCCACTGATACTTTTCATCTTGTTTAAAATCTTTCCACCCACAAAAAAAGGGATGATATGTGTTCATACACATCATACTATGATATGTCAGGCATTCAGGTACTGTGTGCTGCCCATTATATTTGGGTATTCTGGTCATCAAAATTTATGGTTATACTGTACATTTATCAGTTTGCCTTACATTAAACACTATGCATCATAATTGTTAATAGGGAAGAAATTCCTGAATATTTTAATGAATTCCTAATTTTCTAATGAGGGTAAGTTTCTGTAACTCATTACCATTTCTACTCATAAAATGGGGATAATGCTGTTAAACATTTAGTAATAGTTATAGCCATTATATGCATCAAGCTCTCTACCTTTTTTTAAATCCTCACCTGAGGATATGTCTTTTTTATTGATTTTAGAGAAAGAGGAAGGCAGAGTGAGAGAAAGAGAGATAGAGAGAAACATCGAGCAGTTGCCTCCTGTATGTGCCTGGATAGGGGATAGAACCCACAATCTAAGTATGTGCCCTGACTCAGAATTGAACCTGCAACCTTTTTGGTATATGGGATGATGCTCCAACAAACTTAGCCACCTTGCTAGGGCAAATTCTCTACTTTTAAAAAATAAAAATAGGAAGTCACGAAAATTAAATAACAGGTCAATGACATTCTAGCACTCTCAATTATTTATAAGCAAAAGGGATTATTAGTCACATATTTAATCCTTTAGTCACCAAGGGATAAACAGATATAGCCTGCTAAGTAGTGACAGAGGCCCTCTCAAAAGCCTTCTCTAAAAGGTGAGAAGTTTTAATGCTATTCTTTCTCGTTTATACAGAAGTTAATGTTCATAAAATATACTATAAAAATTACTTGAATGAACAACGAGACCAGAGTTAAATATCCAATGAAACTTGTGGAACACCAGACAGTTCTTTATAAACTTTATTACTTGCTGACCAAGTTTAATGCCATGTTAATAAAGTTCTTATTGCACTTAGGATATAGAAATACAGACTACACCACAAACATAAGCAAACCAACTACTCATCATTGTGACTATAACCTTTGGAGAAGGGCCAAGGGAACTGAAGACATATGCATGGGAGTGACCATGAAAGTTAAGCTGGGTAAGGAGAGAAGTGAGGAGATCAGGGGAATAACAGACAGTTTAAAGGTAGTAGGATCAATATCACACAACTGTGGGTACTTCTATGTTCAATGATGCTTTAGTATTTTTCCTCTATTATTTATATTACACATATTTCTTTCCAACCTTAGAGATAAAAACAGCTCAATATACAAAAGTCAAATGTTAACACAGTGTGAAATTATTGAATGGTCTGGCACAGGAATTTGAAACATCCTTTTGACTATAGCTAGTAACATGCTGAACCTGCCATCAATGTGATAGCTGCTTCTTTGAGAAGGACAGAAGTCAATTAATTTTAAATATTGAAATAATCATCACTCATTCACATATACTGGTATCTAATCATTATGAAGATTTCAATTCTAATTTGTTCTAAAATTCAGTGAACTTTCTTGCCATACAGAAACCCTCACTGCTCCCTTACTCCTAAATAAATTGGGTTAATCTTTGCTTATTGGATAAAAAGTGCATGAAGTGGCCAAAACTTCATGGCCTTTGGAGGAATTTCTCAGTTCACATAAAAATGTATTCTTGTCTCTAATATATGATCAGCTGAAAGTATTAAATCTCTACTGAGCATTCTGGAGACATAGCATACCATTCTGTTGCTATGGTGAAAATACTTGAAATTCAGAGGAGGTAAGAAATGATGGTGGCTTGGAACAGGGTGGAAGCAGTGGCGTTGGTAAGAAGTAATCAGATTCTGGATATATAATGAAGGTAGAACCAATAGTATTTGCTTACGGAGGTTATATGGGAAGTGAGAGAGAAAAAAAAGGAAAAAGAATAACTCCAAGATTTCTGGCTTGAAGTCAGGAAAAGTTCTTTTGAAAATGGAAGCAATAATAGCATGTTTGTGCATGCACATTAATAGAAGCCAAGGCAGAAGACATAGGATACAGACACAGAAGCAGATCGATGGGTAGGTGTGGAAGAACTTGTGGAAGTACTCTTTTGATTACTTCAATTTTTTCAGTGGAATAACATCCAAAATACAAGTTGAGAGTAAAGTTGGAGGAGGTGTTGGAAGTTTAAGGAGAACAGAACATGTATGATTAGTCACCGAGGAAAGAAGAAACGCCTAAGAAAATATAGTATGATTGTTGGGCAGCATTAAGGGATCACTGAGTTTATGGTCAGTCTGTATATATGTCAATGTTTTCCTGTTAGTTCAGCTATGTAAAGTGCAGGTATAGGGTAGGTGGGAAATATGATTTGACCAGGGTTGGATTTTGACAGCAAGTATAACAAGAAGGGCCAAGGGAACTGAAGACATATGCATGGGAGTGACCATGAAAGTTAAGCTGGGTAAGGAGAGAAGTGAGGAGATCAGGGGAATAACAGACAGTTTAAAGGTAGTAGGATCAATATCACACAACTGTGGGTACTTCTATGTTCAATGATGCTTTAGTATTTTTCTTCTATTATTTATATTATTTGTACTTGTTATATACCAGTTGTTAAAATATGGTGGAAATTATGAATATGTGACTGTGACTAGAGCTTAGCACTATATCATGCACAATTATATCTTTAAACTTGCCTTCTCATGACATTCAGCCTAGTCTCTTTTTCCAGCCCTGGCCCCACATGCAAATACATGCATGCTCAAACACACACATACATGTAAAATAACAGTGGTTACTTTTAAAAAATATATATTTTTATTGGTTTCAGAGAGGAAAGGAGAGGGAGAGAGAGAGAGAAACATCAATGATGAGAATCATTGATTGGCTTCTTCCTGCACACTCCCTACTGGGGATTAAGTCCACCCCCTACTGGGGATTGAGCTCACAACCCGGGCATGTGGCCTTGACCAGAATCAAACCTGGGACCTTTCAGTCCACAGGCCGACACTCTATCCACTGAGCCAAACTAGCCAGAGCAACAGTGGTTTCCTTTGTGTGGTGACTAGTTTTTTGTTATTTGGGGTTTAATGAAAATTTTTTCCCTCATACTTTCTAATTTCTAAATTTTCTATACTGAGTATAAAATGCTCCTGTAATTTAGAAGAAATATTTAAAAGAACATATGTATTTATACCCATATATAATTAAAATCCTGGCTGTACTCCATAATAAGGTGTTAGAAGACTTAGGCAGGATTCAGGCCATAGACAATTTACAGAAATTAAAAGATTTGAGATGATGAAAGCTGATATACTTTTAAAAACTACACGGTGCATAAAACACATGCATGGATCATTGTCTGGCAAGTGAAATGTATTAAAATGCATGACATTGAAATGGCAATTAAAACAGTAAAATATTTTTAAATTGGAAGAAAGGACCATTACAAACCTGCTTTCTGTTTTGAGCTCTTGCATTCCGTAATCTTCTAGCAGAATAAAAGATAAAATAGCCCACAGTTGCTGCCGTAATAATAAAAAAGGACACAGAAACAAGGAAAATTGAATAGTGATTCACCCAAGGGCCATGTTTTTTCCCTACTTCGATGACCATTGTTACTTGTATGCCTCTTTGAATTGATTGTAGAATTTTTGTGCCTTTCAGATTGCCAATCATGATGGCAACAATGTCTCCTGCACCTATAAAAGAAAAGGAATTTAGTTTTAGTTTGGTAAAGCATCCTATATAATAAAGAGGGAATATGCAAATTGACCATCACTCTGCCACAAAGATGGCTGCACCCACAGCTGAGGTCGAGTTCCCATAACAAGCCTTAAGGAGCAATCAGCAGGGACCTGAGGCTGCACGCCCCCCTTGTCCCATGAGGCTTGACAGGGGACCTCAGGCCGTGCCCCCCGCCCCGGCACCAGGCCGGGGGACCTCAGGCCAAGCTCCCCACTCGGCAGGGCTTGACGGGGGACCTCAGGCCAGGGGACCTGAGGCCGTGTTCCCCACCCTGGTGGGGCTTAACAGGGGACCTCAAGGTGCACCCCCCGCC